GTCTACTTGCGGCCCTGAGGGATTGGAGGGAGGGTGGGTTTGGTGTTGGAACCTGGGCGACTGATGACCAGGATCGACTGTCTTCTCTGTTGGAGAGCCTCTTTTTCATGTGAAAATGATTGTACAGGTAGTGCTGTAAAACATGAAGAAAAAATGATACATTACATATAGCTAATCCCTTGGTACACTAAAGAAAGAAAATAAGCATTGCATGATGTAAACACCAGAATAATTTTTAGAATTAATTTATGACAAACTATAAGGAATAAATGACATCCGAAGAAGAAAAATAGTGAAAGAGGTCAGAATATATCATGCATACAGTTGAACAAGCCTTAGGTTGTGTAAACTTGGCCAAAGACCAGAAGGTTCCTACAGCAAGAAATTACAGTGCCACTCTTCCGCCCTGCTCATACCCTCTGTAACAGCGCCCCACGCCATACTCTTTCTCAGCCATACACATGCAGAGTCAGCACAGACACACACACACACACACACACACACACACACTGTGAAGTTTTTCCTAGAGAAGCTTCATCTAATGCCCTTTGAGATTGGTCTGTTCACCAAGCAGGAAGACATCTGGAGCTAGGTTTCTCTGAGGACTGTGAGAAGGAGGAGGAGTTTGGAAAATGGAGACCAAAGTTAAAGGCCTGGTGGCCATAGAGGAAGCAAAATTCTTACTAGTGAGAAAGCAACGTAACAAGGATTGAGAGAGTGAAGCAGAGTATTCTACAGAGAATGGGGAAAAAAAGGAAGGAGGTATAAGATCAGGAAGACTGAATCTATTGGCCAAATCAAAGCAATCCAAAGTGAAAGGGAAAACTGACCTTGTTAAGGTGTATTCAGAGAAAAACAGGACACTGCTTGAGGAGATGATATCATGTTAACAGAGGAGCAAAAAAAGAAAAAAAAAAAAGAAAGAAAGCTCTTCCTTGTTTGTTTCCTTTTGCTTTTCACCGCAGAGGTATTTGTTAAAGAGGAAAGCAGAAGGCAAACATTTTTAGAGAAGAAAGAAGACAGTAGGAGAGTAGGTCTTCTCTGTTAATCAGTTCAAGCTTCCACAACCAGATAAATTACATCTTGGGATGCCGAAATTACTTACTGAAGTAGTTTTAGAGTAACCTGGCATTTGAGAACTTATTGACAGTGAGAAATGCTCCTGGAGACAAATTATATTGCCATTTTTTTAAAAATAGGAATAAGGATTTATAAACCAGTACATTTGACTTTAAACCTTAGCAAATTTCAGTTTATTAAAGAAATAATTGCACATTTAGAAAGTACTGTAGTAATGAATGTTAGAAGGGATTTGCAAAGAAAATTTACTTCAAATTAACCGAATTTCCATTTTACTGAGGCAGGTGTCAACAAACTAGGGCCCATAGGCCAAATCTGGTGGGCAGCCTGTTTTTGTAAATAAAGTTTATTGGCACCCAGCCCCTGCCCATTCATTTACATACTGTTTACAGCTGTTCTCACACTACAATGGTGGGGTGGTGTGTTACAAAAGAGCCCATAGGGCCCACAAAGCCAAAAGCATCTTCTGCCTGGACCTTTACAGAAGACTTGCTGACCTCCAGAGTCAGAAAATACCACTGATGTAATGTATCTTGATTTCTGCAGGGCACTTATCAAAATTTTCATGTGAATAGAGAGATGTGAGTAGTAATCACATACTAGGTGGGTTTTCCCTGGAATTGAGTCTTCAGAGACTTGTCACAGGACACTACTCTGACCCAGACGCTGACCCAGAGCCAGTAATGTGATGTAGTTGCTAAGAAAACCACCACAGTACATGAGCAAAATGGCAGACTAAGAAGCTCCTCATTCTCCCATGGAAACAGTAAATAAATAACTAGAGACTAGCTAAAATAACTTTGTAGATGCTCTGGAATCAGTCAAATATCTACAGCTACCAAACAAATACCCAATTAAGAAAAAGCCACATTCAAAATGGGAAGAAATTCCATGGTGTTTTTACTTGCTCTTGGCCTAGGCCCTCCCCAGCACACTGCAGTGGGATTTGGGGAAGTGTAGCCAGGTCCCCAGTTCCCTTCTGTGAGCCATAGAGAGTGGAACAGACTTAATTTGCAATCTTCTGACCTGTCTGGGGGCTGCCTGATGGGTCTCTGTGTTATCTAACTCAGAGTTCAGGTGGCCAAAAGAGGCATATCTGGGATCTCAAACTAGGGAAAGCCAAAGGAAGCAGCAGGCATTGCTCATGAAAACCATGAGGGGGCTACTAATTGAGGAATGCAACAGGACAGCTAAAGCCCCAAGAATAAGCAGAGGTAAGATTCTTAGCAAAACTAAGACATTTAAAAGCAACTGTATATACTGGGGAATTGGAGAAAAGTACACACACAAGCCCGGGGAAAATGTATACCCAGAAAAGGCCTGAAAAGATGTTAAGCCTTCATGCAGGGCTGATCCTAGGCTGAGAACACACCCTGCTATTTAGAGAAGGTCTTCCCTCCACTGAGCCAGTCTGCAGCCTTGGAGGGGTACCTGTTTTTTCAAAAGCCTAATTTTCAACAAAATATCAGAAAGCATACAAAGAAAGAGAAAAACATGGCCCATTCAAAGGAACAAAATAAATCTATAAGAACAACCTCTAAAGAAAACTAGCATAATCTTCTGCTAGGTATATAAAAATATATAATCACAATACCTAGCAGGTATCTAGCAATTTACTTCTTACTTATACCATAACCTCATCTCACCTGGTCCTATAATATATATTGCCTTATAATATACATATCTATGTTATAGTAAT